TCTCTTCTTCCTCGTTTTCCGTTCACGGTTTTGACGAGACCCTTCTTGTCCAGGCCGTCAAACAGACCCCTAAGTTGTTTGGTACCACCAGACACGATGCCATCACAGGAGATGATAAGCTTTCTAGCTTTCTCAAGTGATTGATAATGATGAGACTGTCGCTAGGTGCCACCTACCCGGGAAGAGTGGATAACCTGCAAAACATGGCTTTTTGACTTGGATGCAATTGGGGACACCCCACCCACATTTCACGTTTTCGCAGTTGGACAGTTCGGTCGACCTCAACCTTTTTTGTTCCCGTAAACACGGCGCCAGGAGTCAGACAGACCTCTTCATTTCCCATTGGTGTCGTCCAGAATGAAAGACGACACCTTTCTTTTGCATCCGGCACCCCTGCTGAATCCCGGCCCCGATAAAACAAAAATTGGTTTTGAGGGCCGACCCGCGCAGTCAGGGTCAGGGCCCATGGACCGGCTTCGCCCAAACCGGTGTAGTATTACCCATGGTAGCGGACCAAAAACCGGTGACCGCCCCGCGCAGAGTCGCCCGAAGAGTCGAACGACACTCACTGTCCGGTCGGTGAGTGGGTCATGGCCCTGAAAGACAAGATTCACCTGCAGAGGTTCAGTGACCTGAACTAGGACCCGTCACCTGGGGTACCCATAAGGATAGGTACCAGGATAGTTCCACCTACTGAGATACCCATCACCTCGCGTACCTATAGTCTAGTTCGGGTTCTTCATCCTTTGCTGGACCCCGAAGAGATCGACCCCGGTCTCGTCCAGAACCAACGTGGAGGTGATGTCGCCCGGTTGTACCAGGGTCGGTTGGTGGCTCCGAACTCACGATCCACACCCCCACGAGATCGAGTTGCGGCTGGCGCACATCAGCTGGACACCGTAGAGCTAATGCAGTGCAACACGGCTGTCCCGCGGGCGCGAGCACCAAAAAAGCTCCGATGCCCCGATGCCTGGAGACGTGACATGTGCTTTTGTTCAACCTAAACCTTCATTTGGTGCAGAAACATGTGTACCTCTTTCTTCCTGCTTTTCAATGTGTTTCAATGTGTGTGTTTTTTTTCAATTTATTTTTCTGCGACAAGCAGAGTTGGAGGAAAGGATTGACACCTTGACTCTGATCGAATCCATTGAACGGTGGAACGTGAAGATACGTGAAGCTTGTAGTTGGTTTCCAGTGTCTGGTGATATATGCCCTAGGGATCCAGTCGTACCGAACCTCAGGTACGGTGAGGACGGAGACTATTTATGTAGGCGCCAGGAGGGCCCAGTCGTACCTTCTGAGAAGGTATATGGATCCCTAGGGATGAATAACCAGACGGAAAATTGGTTCAAGTCAAGAGGAAGACCTAGATTTTCGTGGATGACACTGTGAACGGCACCCATGTCGCTAGCTCAGAGGGACCTTGATGACAAGTCATGCCTAGAGAATCCTTGAAATTGTGTCAATAGGGTGAATGATCAATCAATTCTTCACCCAAGCCCCAAACCGAAATATCCCCGTTTCAGATCCATAGCTTCGAAGCCAGAGGTATCATTCTTCAAGTTGTGGCTGGATCGCTTGGGTTGATTTTGTTGTGTGTTGCTTTTCTTTCACTTGCTTGAAGGTTTTCGAGGACTAGGATGGCGATGTATGCAGAGCCTGCCAAGGTATGGCCGGAAGATTTCCTCAATCCTGAATCCCGAAGGACCCAACGTGTATGAGTTCAGAGCTTCAAACATACACCACACAAGGGGCGGTGTTCAGCAAAAAAGAAGTCAGTAATGCAAGGTGCTGGCTTTCAATCTTCCAGCTGTATGTGCGTGTGTGATTCGCTTGTTCCGATTTGAAGCAACACATGTTTGGGATTGTTTGAGCCAAACTTGACACCTTGAACAATTCACTTCTACACTCAGGTGAGCGTCCCACACTCAACGATAGAGAAAGCCAATGAGCATCTCAATCAATTGTTTTTTTGGCATACTCTTCTTTTGTTCTTTTCCCCCAAACAGTGTGGGCACACTGAGGGGTTCTTACGGTAGTGGAAAAGCAGCTGATGCTTAGACCGCTGAAGCGCGCAGGCGTGTGCGGCTGATTCGCTGCTATTTACAGTACATTCATGGTTCTCAACATCGTCCATGTGCACTTCGACTGCGCAGGCTCGCAGAATCTGGGTGGCTGAGGCGGGTGCTTCTGGCGACTGCGACTACTCACATCCAGGATCCGCTCGTCTTCCACTCGCCCGGCCACATCCATAGTATGTAGAGATCACTGACACGGCCTGAGATGTGAGGGTGGAGGTCGCACCTGAGCACGAGAGTTTTCTCACGGTGACACCTGTTCTCACCGAGTAGACAACTCGCGACTGTAGGACTGCGGGGCCCGGCTTTTGAGGCTTATGAGTGGGGCTGTCACCACCGGGTAGGTGTGTCCTTTCATGTCTTTTCTCTTGGTGGATTGACATATTTCTTGCAATCACCTGCAGACAAACTAAGGGTCCCGAATGCACGCATACTGACATGTTCTTTCAAACCAACAACCTCTTCCGCTTTTCCGAATGGTTCTGAGGTTGCCAACTAGCAATGCCCTTTGCTCCTAGTAGACTCTTGCTGCTAGTAGTATGGCCAGGCCAGGAGCCCCTAGTAACATCCTTGCCAAGTAGTAAGGCCAGGAACCCCTAGCAGCGTCCTTGCTACTAGTAGTAAGGCCAGGAGCCCGTAGTAGCGTCCTTGCTACTAGTAGTAAGGCCAGGGGCCCCTGGTAGCGTCCTTGCTACTAGTAGTGAGGCCAGGAGCCCCAAGTAGTGTCCTTGCTACTAGTAGTAAGGCCCGCAGCCCCTGGTAGCGTCCTTGCTACAAGTAGTAAGGCCAGGAGCCCCTAGAAGTGTCCTAGTAGTAAGGCCAGGGGCCCCGAGTAGCGTCCTTGCTACTAGTAGGGCCAGGAGCCCCCAGTAGCGTCCTTGCTACTAGTAGAAGGCCAGGAGCCCCTAGTAGTGTCCTTGCTACTAGTAGTAAGGCCAGGAGCGCCTAGTGGCGTCCTTGCTACTAGTAGTAAGGCCAGGAGCCCTAGTAGCCTCCGTTCTACTAGCCCCTAGTAGCCTCCTTGCTACTAAGGCCAGGAGCCCTAGTAGCGTCCTTGCTACTAGTAGTAAGGCGCCACTAGTAGCTTCCTTGCTACTAGTAGCAAGGCCAGGAGCCCCTAGTAGCGCCCTTGCTACAAGTAGTAAGGCCAGGAGCCCCTAGCCTAGTAGTGTCCTTGCTACTAGTAGTAAGGCCAGGCGCCCCTAGTAGCTACTAGTAGTAAGGCCAGGAGCCCCTAGAAGCGTCCTTACCACAAGGAGGACAGGAGCCCCTAGTAGCGTCCTTGCTTAAGGCCAAGAGCCCCTAGTAGCGTCCTTGCTACTAGTAGAAGGCCAGGAGCCCCTAGTAGTGTCCTTGCTACTAGTAGTAAGGCCCGCAGCCCCTAGTAGCGTCCTTGCTACTAGTAGTAGGGGCAAGAGCTCCTAGTAGCGCCCTTGCTACAAGTACTAAGGCCAGGAGAAAGACAGCGTGTTTGCTACTAGTAGTAAGGCCAGGCGCCCCTAGTAGTGTCCTTGCTACTAGTACTAAGGCCAGGAGCCCCTAGTAGCGTCCTTGTTACTAGTAGTAAGGCCAGGAGCCCCTAGTGGCGTCCTTGCTACTAGTAGTAAGGCCAGGAGCCCCTAGTAGTAAGGCCAGGAGCCCCTAGTAGCGTCCTTGCTACTAGTAGTAAGGCCAGGAGCCCCTAGTAGCGTCGTTGCCACTGGTAGTAAGGCCGCGAGCCCCTAGTAGCATCCTTGCTCCTAGTAGCGATGCCCCCCAACCAAAAAAAACACGTGTGCACCTGGGGCCTCTGAAGAGACGTCGCACCACGTCACGTTTCATGGAGCGGCTTCTTGGAGCTCCCACGCGTTGCACCGGGCCCATCTCCGACAAAAAGGTTACGCATCAGAATGACCGAACGTGAGCTGGAGCAGCGTTTGAGCAGCGATCTGAAGATGTTTTTGTTGCATGAGAAACTTGTATACTCTTGAGGACCAAGAACCTTCCATATGAAGAGGTGTTTTTTCAATTGTACTTTGGGGGAGTGTATTACTCAAGAGTCTACATTACCGGGGTTTGGCAGGTCAACTGATTGTTGGGCTGCTTTGGTTCACTTGGAATGGCGTGAAAAACTGCTAGACGCATATTTTATATCACTAGTCACTAGACCATCATCCTCCAACAATTGTCACCAATTGAGACCGCATTACTCAAACCCAACAACCATCAACAACCATCACCTGTTGGAGGATGGTACCCGCAAGTCCTACAACCTGTGCATAGCCAAACATAAGCATAATGATTTCCATGAGTTCCATGCTTGGCATCCCATGTCCATGGCGTTTTCTGACGGTGCAGAATGAACTCTCCATGCCAACATGTCGCTAAATGACGAGGCATCCCGAACCTTTGGAAACCTTCACCCCAAGAACTCGGCATCACCCTGAAAACCCCAAGTGAACTGTGGATTTTCCTTAATGCCAAAGACTAGAAGCGCCCGACAATTCCCAAGTCTTGTTCAGATCCCTGTTCGACTTCCGTTCGACTGTAACAAAAACATGGGCCAGCCCTGGTTTGTGTAATGTAAAATCCTTAGTTGATTCGGTATTCAACCTATTCAAATCATGGTTGGCCAGGAAGGCCTAGGGGATCTGCACCGACTCCCCGAGCTCGCCGTTGAGCCCAGAGCTCACCAGCCGACTGGGAAGACGGAAGACCTGACTGGTGTCCCCCCCCCCAAAGGTGGAAGCTCAGCTACTTTCCCTCGCATTCGACATCGCAGCTACCATGAAATTTGCATGTTTATTTGAGGGAGAGTCAAAAGATGTCAAAAGTGTCCAGCTTCTTCAGTTCGTGACCTTTTGAAGGTTCCTAAGTGACCCAACCAGGTTATCAAGTTCGTTCACTTTGAAGAACCAGGGTTTCCTTGGGAAAAGGTGACTCCTTGAAGCCTGAGCACACGCTGCATTTTTGTGCAAGCGGTTGACGCTGATGACAACCGCTGCTTCAATGTATCTGTATAAGCGTGTAGAACGAATTTCCTGGTTTTGCACAAAACTGAGTGAATCCGTGAATCCCCTTCTGGGGAATATTACATATGTGTGCAGCTGCTGTCCTCAAGTGGAAGGTAGTGGCGATTGGCAAATTCTTGGTCCCTTTCCCTGAGAAAGGATTCATGGCGAAGCTTCTCTATCGCTTGAGTTTCATCGATGTAGAGTCGTCGATGTCAATGGTTCCAATGCCACGTGTCCAGAGCTGCCCAAATTTGGTCCATCGTTGCGACTGGCCAGATTGGCAGAGCCAAATCCAGGCTGGACTGATCTCGAATGAAGATCAAAGCTGATTTCATGCCGCCGTGTTCTGGGCTTGGGCTGTATAAATCCGACAAATTGCCACCTGTGCATCCAATATCCGGTCAGCATACACTACAATGTCTTGGCAGTAGGTGTTGACTACAAAGTCTTTGCATTAGCTTACGAGATAAAGCTAAACATTTATAAGAGGAACAACAAAAACGGAGTGGTTGAAAACGACCATGTTTCTAGCACCCAGTTCTGTGGTTTGGCATTCCACATTGGATGAAGAAGAAGAGACTTTTCTAACATCAGACCCAGAGATTTCGTTTGGGAATTACCGGTGTTTTGGTTGATCTCTATTGGAACCCACCATGTCCCTCAACAGGTGAGGACCTTGTGTGAGCGCTCCGAGCACATCGGTGACGAGACACAGGCGACTCTGAAGTTTCCACAGCCAGGCGCGACGTCTCTTTGTTTCTTTGCGCCGGACCAGGCCTTCAAGTGGAATTTCGGATCCGGTTGGATTCCGTAGCGAGATACAAACAGTTTAGATGTGTGATGTGTTCTTTTAATCCTTGAATCGATTGTCAGTTTTATCCTCGTCTTTGCAGATTACACGTGTTGGCATGAAATCCTACGTGAATCATACTGACTTGATCCTATCAAATCAACCTAGGGTTGCACGGATTGAAGATTGCGCAGTGGCAGATTAGTTTTCCCATTACTTGCGGACTGGAGACAATCTTCAATCCTGCAATCCTGGAGGGAAGTGATATAGAGAAGAGTTGAGACTCTTTGTTGCTGTGGCAGGTCGCTGTTGATGTCAGTAACTGATAGTGAAAGTTAATTACTTCCCCGGATATTTGAACGGGTGATGTGAGATTTGCTTCACTACAAGATGGCCTCTCTCCTTTCTCAACTCGATTGGCGGAACCCGGCGCTGGTGCCTGCAGAATGAAAGAAACATAAGAAACCATCAAAGCAGAGAGGAGGACGAGAGACAGAGGAAGATCGCAAAGAACCTTCAGGCAATCTCTCTAGGGCTCCAAGTACCTGCACAGAAGTGGGGTGGGTTTGGAGCAATACTGGCTCTCGTCTCCCATAGTGTCGGGTTCTTTCGAGTGGAGGACAGCTTCCGGGATGTGACAGGTTCTTTGGCCCGGCCGGGAGATTGGAATGCTGTGAGCCATTCGATGGCTGAACCCTCTCCGATCCGTTCCGAAAGCTTATGAAAACGATTGGTCAACCTTTCCGCTTCCTGTGACGTCCGCAGGTGCATCGCAAGGCAGCCACGGACATCCGGACCTTTGCCGTCGGCCATGCATTCTATTTCTGCATGGCAAGTGCCAAGAGGTGGGAATGCCGGGAATGCCGGCGATGTTGTTCAAACAAACGCGCTTCCAATTTGCTGGGCTGTTGTTTGCCTCAGACAACCCATGTGACCCAAACAACCACAAGCAACCCGCGAGATTCCGCGTGGAAGACTCCGGGAGATTCCAAGGATTCAGGGAAGCGCTCCCGTGAAATCCCCTGAGCGATGAGAACCCAGTGGCGACAGCGACGGAATCGAAATACCTAAAAGGACTTGGCATGCAGCCTATTTGGTGCATGCATGCATGCAAGATTATGCAAGCATGCGCATGTTCGGCCAGGCCATAGGCCAACACATCGCCACCAAATAGCCACACTTTGTTGAGATGATAGAGTTTGCTATTGGTTGATGACGTTGATGAATGGAGGGAATACCCCCGGGTCATTAACGACCAATACTTGTATGGATGCGATGGGATGCATATGGTACCTAGGGCACTAACCCTTCCATGGTTTCCCCAAAGGTTGGGATTGCTCGACGTCCAACAGGGTCATTCTTGTCTCGCAGGGAGCCGACTGTGGCTTTTGCCATGCTTCACATCACCGGCGAGTGGCTACCTTTAACAGGCATCAACGGAAAGTCCTGACCTCATGGTCACACGTTAAGTTGCTTGAAGCTCGAAACAGAATCAACCGATTTTGCAGTATTCCTTGACGTTTTTTTCTGGGGCGCTTGTTGCAAATCTGAATGACCCAAAGATGTTCTTTCGCTCCTTGCATTCCAGCTTGCCCCTGAGGAAGCTGTTCGTCCATATGTCCAAGACAAGGTGGAGGCGATCAATCATCCAGGTGCATCAGTGTTTTTGGAGTTGATTGATCGTGAGCTGGCTATTCGCGACCGCGACGACAGCAACCTGGCCTTGTTTTTGTTTGAGCTTTCTGAGTTGTTTTTCCAACTCTGCAGTATAGAAAAACCAAGACACAACAGAAGTTTTATAGATCCTGTTCAGCATGGCCAGTGATTTGAAAAAGCAAGGTGCCAGCGTGGGCGGAGTTCCTCGTGAGATTCGCCATACTCTTGCTGGTATGAGTTTGTCAGGCTTGGTAGGCACTGTGTGCTCGAAGAGCGTGACGGGCCCTTTTTCTCAGCTCTTGAGGAAGGCCTTGATCGATTTGCATCAGCAGGTGGCAGGATTTGAGCCTCAGCAATTGACAGGCGTTGCTTCCTGGCTCTATGAAGACGTTTTCGGCTGAGGGTCGTTGCATCCTGCACGCAGTGGACGCTGCCACATGGACTTAGTTGTGAGTTGTTTTGAAGACACGTCGTGGAAGGTGTTGGACATCCCATAAATGTCTTGAAAGAATTTAAAGATAGGCACCCTCATAGGCACCCTTAAAAAAAGCATGTCGCGAAAGGGTCTGGAAAAACAACTCGTGGGCGCTCGGCACCCAGACGCTGGCGGTTTCAGGATGCACCTGAGGTTGTGTCCGTTTTCAGGATGCACCTGGGCCTGCGATGGGGTGAGCCGCCCAACGCCGAACAGGGCCGCTGCAAGTACGTGGCTGTTGCCGCAAGTACGTGGCTGTTGCCACTGGCAGGTTGCAGCCCTAGGGATCCAGTCGTAGGTTCTCAGGTACGGTGATTAGAGACACTGATATATGCCAGGAGGGTCCAGTCGTACCGAAGCTGAGATGTCATGTCGGATCCCTAGGGCAGTTAGTTCTTGAAATTGAAGGTGGACTCTGTATCCGTTCCAATCCTTCGAGTGAACTATAAGTCGCAAAGCTGACTTCCTACCTAGGAAGTATGTGGATACTTTGCAAAGCCTTTCTTGGGGGAATTGGTTTAGATTGGTTTCCCCACTGGTCACAAGATGTCACTAGAACCCCAAATAGGGTGGAAAGTTGAGTGAACATGTTTATAATCCCTAGAACTCCAGTCTGACCCAGCAAAACCTGGTCCAACTTACATCCTTAAGTCATTGGTTTTGTATGACCACGTCCAGGATACACTCCATTGGACTGCCATATTTTGATCAGTCCATGGAGCGGGTGAATGTTTGGTCCCATCCGGTACTAGTTCCGGTACTTTCAGCCTCAGAACATCGTGTCAATCCGCACCAATCGCCTGAAAGAGGGTGGGGATCACGTCGTCATTTTTGAGGGGGCGTCCAGGAGGGCGATTCCAGGAGTGAGTCGGAACCGGTACTTTCTCAGGGATGGAACCGGCTAACTATGGTCGCACCTGACGCGTCACACGCAGTCCGTTCCGCTAACCTGACGCGTCCGGACGCGGTGTGCCTCAGACAGTCTGTCCAATGGTGTGAGCAGACGAGTGCTTCGGCGGTCGAAACCGAACCATGAGGGATTCCTGTTTGGTCAGAAGCCCACACGTGCTCACACTAGAGGCTGAGTGCTGAGTTCTGTCTCATTTTGTGCAGACCTGGTTCCTGGTTGGGCCGCCTCGTGCACTTCTTAAGGAAAGATGCAAAACCTCTTAGATCCAAAGATGTGCGCCCAATGCAGGTCAGTCAGTCACTGCACTCAGTTTAAAGTCGTTTAAACAAAAAAAATCGTTTGTTTAAACAATTCGGGTCATGCATAGGCTGTGACTATTTCTACAGCGTGTGGGCATCCAAAAAGAATTGAATTGAGTGAACAACAACGTGGGGAGAAGCAGTGATTGGATTCATTCCCCTGCAATGATGGAGCTTGGTCCAAGAATTTCTTTTAAGAAAAGGATGCCAAAGAAAAAGGAGACTAAGCAGAAATCAATCAGAAATCACGTGAAATCGAAGGAGTTGATGTTTTGTTTCAAGAGCCCTTTTGGTGTCCATCAATAGGAACCTGATTGGGGCAAAGAACAGGAGGGGAAGAATATGATTCCGTAAAATAATACGCTCCACAGTTCCAGAGTGCCCACTGAGTTCCCTTCTCCTAACAATGCTTTGGGCAATCCTTTGGTCCCAGGGTCTTTTCTGGTTTTGGGCCCCGCCACTCGTTTCTGCCTGCACTCCAGGTAGTCTTTCTTTCCTCTCCTATACCTATACTCCGACTATCAGCAAGTTATTTGTCTAGCTGCTATGACTTCTTAAAGGAGTTTCATGGAATGGATGTTGAAAAAGGACAGAGAATGAATGCTTCCCTTGGATGAATAGTCGTGGGCCATGCATTGGATCGGGCAAGGAAGAGCCTTTAGCTACTGGTACAGGGTAAGGAAATATGTCGCAAGCCCTTATTTATTGTTTCAATATCAAGAATCAAAGAACCAACATGTGGAAGCCGTACTGCAAGAGAAGTCATGTTGAAAAGTGAGTTTCCTGCCACTCTTGGCGGAAAAGGCAGGCTGAGAGTGTAATTGTTCCTTCGCGGTGCACCTCTTTTTGGATGCTCGGAAATGTTCTAGAGGCAGTCAAAGCAGATTGGATAGAAATTACCCCCCAGAAGCGGCGATGTAAACGGTAGCTAGGAACAACTTCATTTGAGAATGCTACTGAGGGGGTACAGCACCTCTTGGCTTTCTTGGCTGATGAAAATGTCTCACCAAGAGGTGCTCGGATGAGTTTCAAGGACAATGTCAATAGCTGCGCAAAATGGCTGGCGCACGAACAGAGAAGGGACCTGAACAGTCAGGCATTTGGTGTGTTGTGCATATCTGTGGCATGATGTACTTCGCGACATTGTTCATCATACATTGATTCCGGGATTGCTGTTTGCGCCTGAGAAGCTGTTTTGTGGCACTGACGAAGCATTTAGCTTCATGAATGATGCAGACAGACGCATTTGCACGAAAAGAATCGGGGATCGGACCTTCCTGCAGGTCGGAGATTTGCCCACTTATGTATCTTATGTGCACGCAGTGCACACGGCAAAGATTTGCAATGCAAATCGGTTCTCGTCGTCTTCTTCAAGTTGCCATCCGTGAGACTTTGGCGACCAGAAATTAGGCATGTCTCACACCAATATCCGTTGAGATTCCAATGAGTAGACTCTTGATGATATTTTCACCCTCCCCTCCAGACATGGATTGTAGAACCTCTTCAGGCCTTGAAGGATCTCGGGGACAAAAATATCATCAAGAGTCTACAGAGTCTACAGTCTACATGTCACGTCAAGCAGTCAAGATTCGTTCTTCTCTTGGTTTTGCAGATCGAGTGATTGCTATGAACACCCGAACTGGGTGTTCATCCCTGAACTAGGGGTTCATCCCCGAAACTGGTGATGTTTTCCCGGCTCGCTGGACCACATTCATCCAAGTTCTCATCTTCGGAAGGGTTCATGTTGGTGGTGAGGCACGCTTGATGGGATGTTCCATAGCTGGAGAATGCTGGAGAATGCTGGAGCGCTTCTCCTGAGTTAGGATCCATTGTGCCAAGGCTTCTTCCAACTCTGCGCGACTGTGGAGAAGTCAAAAGAGCGGCTTTTGGCCATGGGTTTGGTTCGGAGCTGCCAGAGCTGAAATGGCAGTCGACGCAGGCAGTCGACACTCCTTTGCCCTCTAAGACCTGAGATGGATGCGGTGCGGTGAGATTGACCACCCCACACCAGCCACGTTGGACTTGTGAGTTTGATCCCATGTGCTGACCCAGAATAAGACATGCGCCTTCCTCAGACAGGTAAAGAAGCATAAACTTAATTTGGGTTTGCCTAAAGTGGTCAAAAGCTTATCTTATTTTGGATTCCTGGATTCCGATTCGTTAATGATGGTCAAAGGACCTCACTGGCCCGCTTTTGCCATGCCTCTCCAGTTCTGGAAGGAAATTCAGTCGGGAAGACATGTGCTATCATGTGCTACTCTCAAACCATGAAATCCGAAGATCAAGCAGGTGCCAAGGTGGATAGAATGTTTGTTTGAGGGAGGGTCAACGGTGTTTCTTTATGTTTCTTTGGTAACTGCTGTTCGTGCCTGAGCACGCTCCTGCCTGAAGCAGCGTCAAATGAGGACATGCGCTGTTTCATTGCAAGTGGAATGAGTTTACATTGGCCTCCAAATTTGCAGCTACTGTCCCTCAAGTGGAAGCTAGTGGCGGCGATTTCTCGGAGCGTGCTGATGGCGAAGCTTCTGTATCGCTTGAGTTTCATCGATGTAGAGTCCACGTCGATGGTTCCAATGCCACGTGTTCAGAGCTGCCCAAATTTGGTCCATCGTTGCGACTGGCCAGATTGGCAGCGCCAAATCCAGGCTGGACTGGTCTCGAAGGAAGATCAAACCTGGTTTCATGCCACTGTGTTCTGGGCTTGGGCTGTATAAATCCGACAAATTGCCAGCTGTGCATCCAATATCCGGTCAGCATACACTACACTGTCTTGGCAGGTGTTGACTATAAAGTCTTTGCATTAGCTTACGAGATAAAGCTAAGAGGAACAACAAAAACGAAGTGGTTGAAAACGACTATGTTTCTAGCACCCAGTTCTGTGGTTTGGCATTCCACATTGGATGAAGAAGAAGAGACTTTTATAACATCAGACCCAAAGATTTCGTTTGGGAATTACCGGTGTTTTGGTTGATCTCTATTGGAACCCACCATGTCCCTCAACAGGTGAGGACCTTGTGTGAGCGCTCCGAGCACATCGGTGACGAGACACAGGCGACTCTGAAGTTTCCACAGCCAGGCGCGACGTCTCTTTGTTTCTTTGCGCCGGACCGGGCCTTCTAAGTGGAATTTCGGATTCGTTTGGATTCCGTAGCGAGATACAAACAGTTTAGATGTGTGATGTGTTCTTTTAATCCTTGAATCGATTGTCAGTTTTATCCTCGTCTTTGCAGATTACACGTGTTGGCATGAAATCCTACGTGAATCATACTGACTTGATCCTATCAAATCAACCTAGGGTTGCACGGATTGAAGATTGTGCAGTGGCGGATTAGTTTTCCCATTACTTGCGGACTGGAGACAATCTTCAATCCTGCAATCCTGGAGGGAAGTGATATAGAGAAGAGTTGAGACTGGTTGTTGCTGTGGCAGGTTGTTGTTGATGTCAGCAACCCATCACTAATAGTGACAACTACTTCCATATAGGGAGATTAGAAGGGGTGTGAGATTTGCTTCACTACAAGATGGCCTCTCTCCTTTCTCAACTCGATTGGCGGAACCCGGCAAAACACTCAGAACTCGTGCCAGCACCCGGCAGCCATCAAAAAAAGAGAGGAGGACAGACAGAGGAAGAAAGAAAAAGAAACACATCCCAACAACGCAACAACCAGCGGAGCGATGAGAGATGTCTTCCGTTCAGGAACGGGCCCCCGAACAATCTGAAGCAGCCTAACCCAAAAAAGTCAACAATTACCACATGTTGTGAGCGGTCCCAAGGATGATGGATGCCTCGAAAAGGAAAATACCATGGCGCTAAAAAGACGCCGGGCGCGGCAGCACCAGCACCCAAGCTCCACAGGGAACACGGCGGCAGCCGCGCCCTGCGGCACCAGCACCCAAGCTCCAAAGGGAACACAGGCATCTCTTCCTATACTTGAAGTAAGAACCCAATAGCTTGTGCTATTTGGGGAAATACAATTGGTGGATGGACGGTGAGGAGGGTTAGACTTCCAGTAACGCGGATGAGCAGATTGAAGATAAGCCCAACCAGCCTTGCAACATGAATGTCTATACTCGGATCCCATTTGATACAGGAAAAGACATGGTTCGTAGGTGTATAAGTTGTATATTTTTCACGGTCCATCTTCGGTCGCTTTGAGCAACCAGGGGGGTTATGCGGTGTTGCTTTCATTCCACATACCAATTCAGCCCTCAAGTTCGGCCGGCCTAACGTCTTGAAAAAGGGTATGAGAAGAGTAAGAAATTGAGCTCCAGATTTTGAGGTTCAAATAAGAGGACGTTTCAAGAGTTTTCTGAACGCAGCACCACTCAAAGCTGCCATCCTCCATGTTTGATGGCTATTCACAATTCATAGAATTCTAGGTAGTTTTCTTAAAATCAACATAGGACCAAAGCGGAAGACCATCAAAATAGGCTGCTGTCCTACTCTAGGTTGTTGACCAAAGCTTCCATTATTCCACTCCGGAGCTCAAACAACCTCTTGAACACTGAAAACCTATCTTTGCCGGATCCACCAAAAGAAGAGACGCGATCGTGTTTGCCTCGCGGCAGGTGAGTGAGCGAGTAAATGGTGCCACAACCCCGAGAGCAGTGGTCTTTGGCTACCAAAAATGGTCCTATGGCTAAGACCATGTAAACAATGGTCCTGGACTGCCAGGGCACACGTAGTGGCACACGTATCCAGCCGCTGAAAAACAGAGGAGACTCTCGAAGGCGAAGAAAACACATGCGTCAAGCCAAACAGGCCGGAAGGCGTGCGTGCCCAGGTTGTGCAGAACAACACCATAGCATGGAAGACACACACGCTGCACACGCTGCGCACGCTGGCGTTGGTTTTTCTTCGGAAGACGCGCGAAGGAGCCGAGAAACACGAAGAACCGCGAGGAAACGCTCCAATCTCGTCTCAGAATTCCCTTTCCTCGGCCTTGGCCACCCAGCCTCCGAATAGGAAGGCAACCTTGTCACGCCTGAAGCCACGGAAACTCCATGTGTGAACTCGCTGGTAAAAACCGCTCGATGTCTCCACAGCCGCGGCACGGCACTCCTGCGGTGCTCCTGCGGTCCGTCGGGACAGCCGTTCGGGGTGGTGGTTTAGGGGGGGTCTGGCTGTTTCGCAGTCCGCAGTCGACAGGTCGTGTATGGGTGCGCCATGCCAGAGAACCGTGGAAAAAAAATGACATTCCACCACCACAAATGAGCACCTCCTCAGCCTGAGCTCGTCTATCCAACGCCTCAGCGCATTGGGGAATGCTAGAATTCAATCATAATCAGTCCCTCAACTATTAAATGTGAGCGGCTACACATGGTTCACGAGAAAACGAATCTTTAGTTTGGGCACAGAACTCATTGAAGGTTTTCTATCAAGTATAAATATGTATATATTTATAGTTATTTATTACTTGTCCGTAGCGGTGTATTAGTAACAAAGAAATGACTTGCTATTTCTCAGAGGTGCCGGGAATCTGATGGTGCTGGGCAAAAAACAGATTGGTCAAGAATAACCAAAACATGAAATTGACATCTTTCATGGAGGATGATAGCCCGAAAGCATATCTATACTATAGTTCTTTCTCGGCGTGGACGGATTAGCTTCGGGATGCGGTTGATATATAGATCGTTATAGATCATTCTGTTTCGTACTTTAGCTGGCTGGCTGGGAGATTGGAATCCTGCTGTGATATGCTCTGATCATTCGATGGCTAAACCATGCTAAACCCTTTCCGAAATGAAAACGGTTGGTCAACCTGTCCGATTCCTGTGACGTCCGCCAGTGCCAGTCAACCGGCTACAAAGCCGAGCGCAGGTGCATCGCAGGGCAGCCATGGACATCCGGACCTTTGTCGTCGGCCATGCATCCTATTTCTGCATGGCAAATGTCAAGAGGTGGGAACGCCGGGAATGCTGGGAAGGCGGTCGGTTTCGTCTCCCGGTTTGGCTTGTTCTTTTTAATAGCCTCCTCTAGGCCATGTAGAGTTGAGGTAGGTAGGCAGGCAGGTAGGTAGGTAGCTAGCTAGCTAGCAAAAGCTAGGGAGTCGCTAGTAGCTTAAGTACCTACTAGAATGGGCGCAGGAGAGCTCACGCTTCTTCAAACAAGCTTCTTTCCGCCGCCTTTGAAGCGCTCGCACTGATGATTTGGTTTCATGTGACCCAAACAACCCCATGTTGTCGCTCAAACATCGCGCTGATTGAGCGTGGAAGACTCCGGGAGATTCCAAGGATTCAGGGAAGCGCTCACCGTGAAATCCTTTAGTTAATCTCCTGAACGATGAGAACCCAGTCGCGACAGCGATGGAATCGAAATACCTGTATCATCGCCGGACCCAGGCTAACTCTGTGAATCTTGAAAATAACAAGGCAAAAAAGCAAACAAAAAGCAACTACAAAAAGCAAAAGCAAAAAGAAAGCAAATGAAAAAACGAAAGCATAGAAAGCAAATCCAAAAAGCAAAAAATAACAACATGAAAAATCAAAATCAAACAAAAAACAAGTCAAGAAACACATATGAACAAGCAAAAAAAACATGCAAAAAGCAAATAATTTTTACACGTTGTTTTTTTGTTTTTGTTGCACCTGTTTTGTTTTGTTTTTTCTTTAAACAAAAACACTTGTTGCTTGCCTTTTGTTGTTCCCCATTGTCTTTTCCGCATGTTTGTCGATGTGTTTTTTGTCCGCTTTTGTTTGTGTTTTTTGTTTGTTCATGTTTTTCGCTTTTTTGTTTGTTTTTTTCCCCCTGTTTGCTATTAAAGTGTAATTTGTTTTTTTTTGCTCGCTTGTTTTTATCTTTTTGTTTTTTCCATTTGTTTTTTTGTGCTTTTAGGCCTGTTCATTTGTTTTGTTTGCCCTTTTGGATTTGTCTTTTTTTTCTTTTGCTTTTTGTGGTTGTTGCTTTTATTTGGACAACAGTCAGAGATAGCCTAAGTGGTTTTCTTAAAACTACCAAAAAAGACCTGGTATGCAGCCTATTTGGTGCATGCATGCATGCATGCAAGATTATGGAAGCATGCGCATGTTCGGCCAGGCCATAGGCCAACACATCGCCAGCAGGTTGGATACCCCCGGGTCATGAACGACCAATACTTGTATGGATGCGATGGGATGCATATGGTACCTGGCACTAACCCTTCCATGGTTTCCCCAAAGATTGGGATTGCTCGACGTCCAACAGGGTCATTCTTGTCTCGCAGGGAGCCGACTGTGGTTTTTGCCATGCTTCACATCCACGGCGAGTGGCTACCTTTAACGTGCATCAACGGAAAGTGCTGACCTCATGGTCACACGTGAAGTTGCTTGAAGCTCGAAACAGAATCAATCGATTTTGCAGTATTCCTTGACGTTTTCTGGGGCGCTTGTTGCATTGAAAGCGCCGGCTAGGAGGCATGTTCCGAAGGACAAAGGCGGCAACGCCCGTAATTGTTTATCCAAATCCTGGTGCTCCTTGCATTCCAGCTTGCCCTCAGGAAGCTGTTCGTCCATATGTCCAAAGCAAGGTGGAGGCGATCAATCATCCAGGTGCATCAGTACTTTTGGAATTGATTGATCGTGAGCTGGCTATTCGCAAACACGACAACAGCAACCTGGCGTTGCTTGTGGGTTTTCTGAGCTTTGTTTTCCCACTCAGCGGTCAGCGGTAGAAACAAGACACAACAGAAGTGCAGTCGTTGATCCTGTTCAGCATTGCTGAAAAAAACTAAGGTGCGATTCGCATGGATGGAGTTCCTCGCGAGATTCGCCATACTCTTGCTGGCATGACTTTGTCAGGCTTGGTAGGTATTGTGTGCTCGAAGAGTGTGACGGGCCCTTTTCCTCGACTCTTGAGGAAGGCCTTGATCGATTTGCGTCAGCAGGTGGCAGGATTTGAGCCTTGGTAATTGAAAACAACTTGTGTGGGCACTCGGTACCCAGACGCGGGCGTTTTCAGGATGCGCCTGAGGTTGTGTCCGTTTTCAGGATGCACCTGGGCCTGCTATGGGGTGAGCTGCCCAAGGTTGAGCCGCTTACGTGGCTGTTGCCGCAAGTGGTGAAGTTGCCACTGGCAGGTTGCAGCCCTAGGGATCCAGTCGTACGTTCTCAGGTACGGTGATTAGAGACACTGATGTATGCCAGGAGGGTCCAGTCGTACCGAACCTGAGAAGGCATGTCGGATCCCTAGGGCAGTTAATTTGTTGAAATTGGAAGGTGGACTCCGTATCCGTTCCAATCCTTCGAGTGAGCTATAGGTCGCAAAGCTGACTTCCTACCTAGGAAGTACATGGATACTTTGCAAAGCCTTTCTTGGGGGAATTGGTTTAGATTGGTTTCCGGTTTCCCCACTAGTCACTAGAATCCTTGGAACTCCAGTCTGACTCCCAGCAAAACCTGGTCCAACATCCTTAAGTCATTGGTTCATTCGTGTTATTGTATGACCACGTCCAGAATGTCATGAGGTCAGTTCCTGACCTGTAGGAAGAACAGGTGACATTGGGCTTCTGGGCAACCTCGCAAGGCATTGGGAACGGTGCGTCCATCAGCTGTTTTGCCTCAGACAGTCTGTCCAATGGTGTGAGCAGACGAGTGGTTCGGCGGTCGAAACCGAACCATGAGGGATTCTTGTTTGGTCAGAAGCCCACACGTGCTCACACTAGAGGCTGAGTGCTGAGTTCTGTCTCATTTTGTGCAGACCTGGTTCCTGGTTGGGCCGCCTCGTGCACTTCTTAAGGAAAAATGCAAAACCTCTTAGATCCAAAGATGTG